TTTGCTGGCAGTTCTTGGTGTCTTCTTCCGTTTCAGAGAGTGAAACCGATCCGAAAGCTGCAGCCGAACGAAATACTTGTATTCTCGTCCAGTGTTGGTTGATCCCCAATTTTTTTCACACACCCCCCCCTTTCCCCCATGCATCCATGTGGCTCTCTGACAATACAGTGAACCCTCGTTTGTCGCGGTTCATCGGTTCTAGACCCTACCGTGATAAATGAAATTCCGCGAAGTAGGATTCCTTATTTGTCAATCAAATATTTTCGTAGTTAGAGCATAGAGGACATGAAAAAACACCCTTTAGTCACCATTACACTCGTATTACCCAATTTATTAAACGAAAAAGGGAAAATACAGTAAAACATTTTGGACGTTACAATTATCATTTATTATTTATTATATTATTTATGGCATCAAGCGTGTACAGTATGAGCCAATCAGTGGCAGTAATGACAGAGCATGCGCTATTATGCAAAAACCGCGATAGAGTGAAGCTGCGGAAGTCGAAGTGCGAAGTGGCGAGGGTTCACTGTATACTTACAAAAGTGCAGTGTTTCTAAAACGCTCTCAAGGTGGTTGGTGTATTTCGTCATTACCTCTCCAACAATGAGTTGCAACCACAGACTAAGCATAGGAACAGCGGTGAGGATGGCGCAGGGCCGGGCACTGTTTCGTTCTGCCGTGCCTAGGGGCGCTATGGGTCGGAGCAGACTAGCTGGCACCTAACACCACCACGTCCCAGGAGAAGATGGTGGGTTGTGTTATTCTGCATTCACAGAGGAGGGACGCAAAGCTGTGTGACCAGCCCGGCCCAGGCCAGGACCTCAGGAGAGGTAGCAACTGGGGCAGAATCCTGCCTTCCATGCCTCCACGCCGGGCTCTCTCTGCTCTGCGGCACTTCTGCGTGCCAATCAGAAGGGCCATGTCAGGATGAGCCCTCGTGGGCGCTGCCTGCCTCTGCCCTCCCTGTCCTGCTTTGCCCCTCTTCCTGTGCCTGCCCAGAGAGGGTGAGACACAGAGATTCTGCTCACAGAGATTCTTCTCAGGGGGCGGGGTATGGTGGTGTGGTGGTGGTGGTGGTGGTGGTGGTGGTGTGTGTAAGAGAGATTGAGATTGATTTGTGCCTTCTCATTCTCGAAAGCTCCCGTTAGGAACTATATGCCCCTCCAAAACATGAGGAGGGCTTCAGACAGTTCAGGGAAACTTCCCATCCTCTTTTAATTCCATTTTTCTCCCATGAACTTTTTGAAGACCCCTCTCTACCCCAGATGTATGACAGGAGCCCTGGTGGCACAGTGGGCTGGGCATTGGCCTGGAAACGGCCAGGTCGATGGTTCAAACCCCCCAGATGCTCTGCTGGAGCAAGGTGAAGCCATCTGTGGATTTGCAGCCTCTGAAACCATCCGGAGCAGCTCTCTCTGTCCTGTGGGTCCCCATGAGTCGGCATCCACTCGATGGCCGTGGAGGTTGGGTGCAGGGGGACTGGAATCCTAGTCCCTGTACCTGGGGATGCAATTTCATTGGGGACAGAATTGTCTCTGTTAGGTTGATCAGTGTAGTGTGTTGTCTTGAACCTTTGACTGTTTACAAGATGAGACACAAAGATGAGCAAGCAAGCACAGATGGGGGGGCCGGTCGATGCCGTGTCTCCAGGTCACCAGGGAACTGAGGAAAGCTGGACCAAGGATTGTCTCACCTAGTGGACAGAGAGCCGACAGCCAGTCTTCCAATCTCATCGCCCCTTTCTCAGTGAGAAAGTAAACTTCTGTTCTTTGAAGTCCCTCACCTATAGTGTTTCTGCTACAGCTGCAAGTACTAGGTACCAGGGACGGCTCTGTTCTGCGGACAGCTCCTCTGGGAATGGCTAGGTGCCGGATGCCCCCCAGACAAAGTACTTCCCACCTTAGATTAAAACGGCTTGCTTTTGCAACTGCCTAATCATAAGCAAAGACTGTCATCTCTCTCTCTCTCTCTCTCTCTCTCTCTCTCTCATCTATCTCCCCTCCCTTCCTCCTCTTTTTCTCTCTCCCTCACTTCCCTCTTTTTCTCTGCTTCTCCCTCTTTTCCCCTGTGGCCCCCCTTTTTGCCTCTCTCCCCTCTCTTATTCTCCCCCACCCCTTTGTCTTCTTTCAGGGTTCACACCCACTCCCAGGGCTCCAGCCCCACCAGCCTCCTTGCTGTTCGCTGGGCCAGCCAGACACACTCCCTCGCTGGCTGTGCACACGCTCCCGGTGCCACTGTCTGGAAAACTTGACTCCAGATCCCCTTGTGCCCTCCAGCTCAGGACTCAGGGGTCACCTTCTCAGCTACCCACCTATTTCAAGTCCCCAAAGCCCCACATCCTTTCCTTTGTAAATATTAAATAAAGAGGTCCTTACGTTATAGGTACCCATCACCCTCACCACTTGACATGTTGTACTTTCTCTTCACTCGTGCCTCTGTTTCCTTTGGTAGACCAGTGAACTCGACAGTCACCAGTTACCGGGTACTCTATTGCATCCTCGGAGCCCCTGGGCCTGGAAGGCTTTCGGGATGGCTTTTTCCGGAACTAAATCCCAGGCCTTTTTCCAAGACCCCTCTGGAAAGACTCGGACCTGCAGGGTTTGGTTCGCCATTTGCACTCCCCAGGGACATAGGAATTCTTCAGGACCATAAACTGATATCAAAGCCAAGTGTTTTCTTTTTTAAACAAAGATCCACAAGTGACTCTGGCTCTCTTCACACACTGCTGGTTAACCATTTGGTCCATGCAACAGTAAACAGGCCCAACAGGTGCTAGATCATCATTTCTCAGGTGGCTTAGCCTCCCAGGAACGTATGCACCAGCCACAGGCTTAAGCCAGGGCTGCTTCTCTCAAAAAAGGGACGCCTTTCCCCTCCCAAACTATAAACCCATTGTGGAATTCAGTTCCTGAGCGCTTTTTAATTAGACACTTTTAAAATAGCACTGTCTTTTAAATATTAATGGGAAAAAGAGATAATAGCTTTCCAAGATCTCGCTCTTGCCCGTTAATGATGTCAATTTTGTTACTCAATGCATATTCATCTCACTTGCAAGTTGCTGTGACTAGAAGCCAACCCAAGGACACTGGGTTGGGTTTTTTCTTGTTGGTGTTTTATGTTCCCAGAGCCCTGGTGGCACTCCCTGTCAGGAAGCATGGGACTGCTAACTGCAAAGTCCATAGTTCAACCCCATCAACTGCCCTGTAGGAGAGAGATGTGGCTAGTCTACTTCTGCAGAGTCCAAGGCCTGCCTCGCTGACAGAGTCAATTCTGATTTATAATAAGCAACCCTAGAGCACAGAGTTCAACTGTCCTCTGGAAGCTGACCATTTTCAAATCAGAGGAGCAAGCTGGATTGGCAGCCCCTTCATTCTCCCCAAACTTAAACCCAGTGTCTTATTCTCAGAAACATTGGAAGTGTCCTTGGAAACCCTGCGGGGCAGCTCTACCCTCTCCAGTAGGATCATGATGAGTCCGAAACGGCTTGACGGTACTGGGATTTTATGTTCCAGGGACTGTGTCTGCTGCTATGAATTCAGCAACAAGCAAAGCAAAGACAGTCTCTCCTTAGTAACTCCCATTGGGAGGGAAGACATCACTCAGAATGGTATCCTAGGAAACCTTGAGAAACCCCTGCAGAGATAGCAGGTAGATTATATCAGGAGAGTAAAACCGGCAGGGCCAATTCTGGGTATACTCTGCCCGGGAGAGAGAAGAGGGCATCCTGGGTATCATTCAGGTTGCAGTGCCCAACACAGCAATCCTGTAATCAAGGTGGGCAATCCTGCCCCCTGGGGGTGCTCAAAGCATGGGGTCCCAAAGCCAACTCCCTACCATCCCCAGGGTTGAACTGTCCCTGTGGCTTTCTGAGACTGAAACTCCACTGGAGTAGAAAGTCTCATTTCCCTGCAGAGCAGCCCATGGTTATGAACTGGTGACCTTGCAGTTCCTCACCCAATGCCTAACCACTATGCCCTCAGGGCTCCTGGATGATGGGGTGGGGGGCTAAAGGAGCGGTTACCTGCACTTTATCTTGGATTGTGGGCTGTAGCACAAAAGGTTTTCATTGTCCAGGTGAGCTGAGCAATTTCTTTCTTTTCTTTTTCTGAAAGAGGGCGGTAAGCCATGTAAGTCTGGGAGCCTGTACTCTGAACGAGGGTCGGAAAACTGTGGCTCTTTGGGTGTATACATGTGGCTCTGAAGTAAAATTGATCTACGTATGACCCCCTCCCAGCGGGACAGACAACAGAAAAGTGGATGAAAGGAGGCAGCAGTCGGTGTAAGCCATGAAAAAAAATGATAAATGATCAAAAGTTCATGGGGGGGGAGGGGGGAAATGAGCTGATACCAAGGGCTCAAGTAGAAAGAAAATATTTTGAAAATAATGATGGCAACAAATGTGCTTGACATGATGGATGGATGGATGGATGGATGGATGGATGGATGGATGGATGGATGGATGGATGGATTGTGATAAGAGCTGTAAGAGCCCTCAATACAATGATTTAAAGAAAAACTTTAAAATATATTATTTGGATAATGGTGATTTCATTTGTTTGTAAAAATGTATCTCTGACTTGCGAATAATTTTTAAATCGTTGTGAGGGACAGGACTTGCTCTTCAGTTTCCGAAGTTTACCGGCCTCTCCTCTAAGCCACACATTCAGGTCTCACTTGTTTGAGGAGGGTCGGGCATTTGTTCATGCAGCTGTCCTTCCACAAATAGCTAGTGACACCTACCACTATGAGCAAAACGGCAGTGCCCGCCTTCCGCTCCGAACAAGACCAGGAGCTCCCTGCTCCCAGGCGGCCTTTCGTCAGGGGTCAGGGGCGCCAGCTCCAGCTTCCTGAGAGCAGCCCCTCGCCCAGCAGACGACTGGTTGCCTGAGTTGGTAAAACTCATCCTTGCCGCTACACCCGAGGGGCCACCTTCTGCAGGACGGGAGTGTCAGGGAGTGTCAACCGGGCCTCCTACTTCTGCCTTTCTCTGTTTGCAGGCTTAGAAGAAAGGGGAGAAGAATTTGCTCGCATGCTCACGGACCTTCTCTTTGAAATCCATGTCGCGGCCACACCTGACAAACTCAATAAGGTCGGCACCGTCTGATTCCAAGGCTATGCTATCTTTTTTTAATTATTTTTTTTACAGCCCTAGAAGCCCAGAGATCCATTTGACATGAAAAACCCCAGAACCCCAGTGGTCACCATGAGAGGAGTTACGGGTTAGCAAGTAAGACGTGAAGCAGCCTCACAGGATGTGGTCACGGAGAAGGTTGTGTCATGAGGTCTGCATTTTAGTTGCCACGTTTCCTAACTGATTACATTATGACCTTGAACAAATCTATTGCCTTCTGGGGGTTGGGGGGGAGGAGCAAACTCCACTGTCATCGAGTTGATTCTGACTCATCGTCACCCTACTGAGACGATAACTGTTCATCGGAGTAGAAAGCTTCAAGTTTCTTTCACGGAGTGCCTGGTGGCTTCTAACTGCTGACCTTGAAGTTGGCAGCCCAATATAACACACACACACACACACACCCGGCTCCTCTGGGAAAATCAGGATCTTATTACTGGCCTAAAAAGCCCCAACAAAACACCACACTCACCGCCATCCAGTCAATGCCAACTCAAAATGACTGTATAAGAGACAGTAGGACTGGGTCCTTGAGTTTCTGAGACTGTCAGTCCTGGCGGGAGTAGAAAGCCCCATCTCTCTCCCCATATTGGGCCAGGGGTTATTGTATTCAGGATGAGGGAGAGGAAAAGGACAGTCAAAGTCGCCAAAAGCCTTTCCAATCTTACCCCCTTTAAAGTGATGGAGGCCCTTATGGCCCTGTCCAGGAGCATTGGGTTAGGGGTTCAAATCCACTGCTCACAGGGAGAAAGATGGGGCTTTCTGCCCTGTAAAGATTTATAGCCTTGGAAATCCTATATAGAGTTGATATGTGCCTTGTTTTAAATGGCATGTCAGAATTCGAGAGGAGAAGAGGCATGCCAGCCAGGGAAACTGAGTGTCTCCCGGCCCCTGAAACGCTGGTACGGCATTCTGAAAAGGCTGCAGCCTCTCAGCCTGGGTTTCTCTGGTAATGGCTGCCGTCTGCCTGGCCAGTGGCACAGGGTCTTGCTGGAGAGTGACTTCAATGAGAACACGTCTCCCCATTACTTAAAATTGTCTTGCTTTTCCTACATGGTTTGGGTTCGGGTTACACGGGCCCGCACTCACCCAAGTGGGCGAGGAGTTGGTTGGCAGCTCTGGGTCGTGAGGTGGAGCGATGAGTGATGTCTTTATCCCGTGCGGGGTCGCCAGTTCTGGCAGGTCGGTGACAGGGAACACGGAGGGAAATTGCCTCATCCATCTCAGGGCCAGGCCTGCCACTGCGTGGAGGGTCTGCGAGGTGCTTGCTGCTTTATTTACAGAGTGAGGCCAAACCTTTGTCTCTGAATGTGGGCGTCTCCAGGGCTCCCTGTCGGCATCGTGGGGGAGTTTGTTCATTCGCCAGCAGGCGCTCTTGACCTCTTGAGACTTGATGTCTGAGTTTGCAAGTAAGTCAGGAGCAGAGCGTCTGCTCAGACACTGTCCCCACCTCAAGCAGACAGCATCAGCTGTCATCTGGGCGAGTCTGCCCGGTTTCAATTCAGGCAAGGGGGTGGGGGTGGGGGGTGAGGACGTGGTTTCTGCTAGTACAAAGAGCCACCCTTTTTAAGGTTGGTTTTGCTGGCCTCCTAGACGCCTGTGAAGTGAACTGGTCCCGGAGCAGGCCAGACTCTTTCCAGTGGCTTCTCCCTCCTGGGGCCGGAGACGGAAGACTTGCCTTGAATCCGAGAACAGCGCGCCATCCTTCATCCGCCCAGCAAGATGCCTCCTGCGGTCCATGAAACATTAAGAGCTTCATGAGACGTGGCAGATGAGGAAATTTGCTTTAACCATGGCTGAAGCTAAATTTCTGGACGATATTAAAAAAGCCACTGGTATTCTTTTAGGGTTGGTCGTGACATATGAAAAACATACATGGTAGATCTTTCTACCAGTGTGGCCGTCACTTTTATTCTAACAGAATCCTGCGTTAATACGCTTTTTGAAAAACCCTCCGGCCCTGTGGTGCTTCCTCCATACTCTTTATATTGCACCCCCTTCTTTCATTTTCGAGTTGACTCTGATGCATGGAGACCCCTTGCATTACAGAGTAGCACAAGTTCATAGGGTCTTCTTGGTTACCGTCTTTGTGGAGGAGCCCTGGTGGCACAGTGCTTGCGCATTGGGCTGCTAATTGCAAGGTCATCAGTTCGAAACCAGCAGTGGCTCTGAGGGAGAAAGGCAGAGCTTTCTTCTCCTGCAAAGACTTACAGGCTCCGCAACTCACAGGGCAGTTCTCCCCTGTCGTCTAGGGCCGCTGTGAGTCAGCAACAACTTGATGGCAGTGAGTTGGGTTGGGTTTGTCATTATGGAGGCAGATCACCAGGCCTTGCTTCCGTGGCACCGTGGGGTGGGTTTGAACCACCAACCTTTTAGGTTAGTAGTTGAGTACCAGACTTGTGCAGATTTTGAGAAATTGAGTCCACCATGTGGGACACGTACAGAGAACCACCTTGGCAGGTTTGGAGCAGTTTAGTCCTAGTCTTGGAGTTGAAATCACTTCACTCACTGCCGTGGGATTCATCCTGGTTCAGAGTAACCCTGCAGGGCAGAGTAGAACTGCCTCTGTGGCTTTCCACGTCTCAATATCTACGGGAGCAGAAAGCTTCGTCTCTCTCCCAAGGAGCGACTGGTAGGTGCGAACCACCAGCCCACCACATATCCCACGACCCCCCCAGAAGACCCCAGACTCACTGTCACCGAGTCGATGGCAACTCATGGCGACCCTCTAGGACAGAGTAGAACTGCCCTGTGAGTTCCCAAGATGATACCGCTGAACGGGAGTTGGAAAGCCCTGTATTTCTCCCAAGGAGCAGCTGGTGGGTTTGCACTGCCATCCTTGTGGTTAGCAACCCTACAATAACCTGCTCCATCCTTTGAAGTCGCTTCATCTCCTTGTTTACCCGATGAATGCATTGCTGTGATTGGGTGGGGCTTGCAGGCCATGAAGAAAGCGCACGACTGGGTGGAAGAAGATCAAACTGTGGTGTCGGTCGATGTGGCCAAAGAGCCAGAGGAAGAAAGCAGAGAGGAAGAGGACGAGAAGGCCGAAAACCCTGACGCCGACGCAAAGGGAGAAAGGAAGAGGAAGGGCGTAGAGGTAACTGAATGGTCGATGGCCCCGACTGGGCACTACGACTGCTCCTGTTGTCAGCAGTCTAGTCTTCCCTGAACAGAGGCCATTTCCGTTTCACTCATTCCGCCCCTTAGAAGTAGACGTGATGGTGAAACAAACAGTAGAGTGCCGCCATCGAGACAGTCCGTAGATCAGCACGGAACCCAGCTTGCTCCTCAGCTGTACCATGAGAAGGGGGGAAAGATGTTGAGGAACACAGTTGATTTATCTTTAGGATGAAATTCCACCTTCTATGCAAACTGGCCACTATAAAATGTCGTTAAGCCTTATAGCTGAGATAATTGAAGCTTTAAAAACAACACCTTTTTCTCATTGCTATGCTTTCATTCCGTTGCCTTGTGGTTCTACATGTGCTTTTATAGATGTGTGTCCTGCCTCTGTTGAGACAGGGTCCCCTTTTAAATTAGACCACTCTTGAAAAAGCATATTGTTGAGAACGAGGGGGGTGGGAGCAGAGACCCAAAGCCCTTCTGTAGACGATGGACATCTCCCCACAGAGGGGTCACAGGGACGGGATCAACCAGGGTGCAGTCGCGCACTGATGAAACACACAATACACCTCTCGCTCCTTGAGGCTTCCTCACCCCCACTCTGAGGACCCCAGTGCTGCTTCTCCCTTTAGACCAGACCGGAGCACGTGCACAGGTAGAGATAAGAGATAAGAGCTCATGACACAGAATCCAGGAACAGGAACGGGAATAGCGATACCAGCAGGGGAGGGGGAAGAGGGGGGCGAGGAGGGAAGGAAGGGAGGACTGATCATAATGATCAACACACACCCCTCCAGGGGGAAGAACAACAGAAACCGTGGGGGAGGGAGACAACAGTCGGTGTGAAATATAAAAAAAATAATAATAATAATGTGTAATCTACCAAGGGGTCACAAGGGTGGGGGAGGGGGAGGGAGGAAAAAGGAGCTGATATCAAGGACTCTATAAAAGAATGATGGCAATGTATGTACAGATATTCCTGATACAGTTGATGTATGGATTTTCATAAGAGTTGTCAGAGCCCCCACTAAAATGACCTTTTAATCAATCAATAAACTAGACCAGTCTAACGAAGGAAGACTTCCCATCGAGGTCTGCTTGTTCAGCGTCTCTCCCGCTTGCATTTGTGAGCACCTGCCTGCTGAAAGCCCAGCCCCACTCCGAGTTCTGGAGGAGGCAGTTGTGAACAGGGCTTCTGACATCCCTGGGCCCGATGGGCCTTCCACTCGTGGCTCTACTTCCACTGGGAACATCTTAGATATTCCGATAATCTTTGAGTAAACGTTTTTGTGTCGTTTTTATTGTTTTGTTTCAAGAATTATGTCATTTGTTAAATGACACAGGGTTTGTGTGGTTGTCATTTTGAAAGCATCTCCTCAACAGGCCCCTTTCCTGCTGTGACTTACTCATTTCAGGATGTGTACATGCTTTGCATCCAGAGTCTGGCAGAAGTAACGGCACGCTGCATCGAGCAGCTTCATAAAGTAGCTGAATTAATTCTTCACGGACAAGAAGAGGAAAAACCAGCTCAGGACCAAGCGAAAGTTCTGATCAAGTAAGTGGGACTTTCTGTTCTGACTCTATGTATGTACACACCCCCGCATGTATATACACACATACATACATATATAATATATTCTGCATTGAAACATCTAGACTTCGAAAACTTTGCTGGAAAAATCTCATTTACTCCATTTTTCCCACCAACTTTTCTTAGTCTCCTGGTATGTGCACATTCACATGAGCACACACACACACACACACACACACACATATACATATGTACACAAAGACTAAAGATTCAGATTTCAAGTCAGCCTCTTCTTTCACTCTGTGGGCATCTTAAGAATTCAGGACTGTCTTAATACATGCTGTGTTAACAAGAAGAAGATCAAGAGTTTACACAGTCTGGGGTTATTTGTGCAGAGATTTGAGACAAGACACTGCAATATACTTAATGTAGCGCCTTTAAGAACATTTGCTGTTTTGGTTATTTATTTTGGTTTTTAATGGAAGAGTTGGAGAAAAGGTTTATACACCTATACAAGTGGGCTCAAACCTCGGATTTACCCTCCTTACACTCCTGATTCCAACACAAGATACCAAGGCCAAAGAAACCTGCGGAAAGAACCAGAATGCTACACAGCTGTGATGGCAAATCATGAAGGATGATTGAAAATGGTCCAATTACAAATGTCTGTAGAACATCTTCAAACCCCGGTACCATTCTTTTACAGATCCTGTTCGAGATCAGTATTTACCATGCCAGTTAGCTTATTTTACTTAGCTGAAAACTCCTAACCATCTGTTTTTGTTTTTCTGATTCCAGATTAACTACTGCCATGTGCAATGAAGTGGCCTCTTTATCAAAGAAGTTTACAAATTCTTTAACCACTGTTGGGGTAAGACTTTTTATTCTTTTCCCCCCTGTTTTTAGGTGATATAGGGCTTTGAGGAAGGAGCACTGGTGGCATACTGGGTAACACATTGAGTGGCTAACCACAAGGTCAGTGGTTCAACCCCACCAGCCGCTCCAAGGGAGAAAGATGAGGCTGTTTGCTCCTGTCAAGATTTAAAGTCTCGGAAACCAAGAGGGGCAATTTTGCTCTGTCCTACAAGGTTGCTGTGAGTCTCAATCCACTCAATGGCAGTGAGTTGGGTTGTTGTTTTTTTAAGTTTGAGGTCTGTGTTAGTCCAGGTTGACTGGAGAAACAAATTTGTAGACACTCATGTGTGTAAGAGTTTTATATCAAAGAGTAATTGTACATTAAGAAAATATCCTAGCCCAGTCCAGATCAAGTTCATAAGTCCGTTATTAGCCCAGATATCCAATACCAATCTATAAATTCCTCTTCAGACTCACAAAACACATGTAATGACACTGAATGCAGGAAGATCATAGGCCAGTGGATGGAAAGTCTTGTGGATCTAGTGGCAGTGGAAGTATCTCCGTGTTGGTGTGGGTCTCCACGTGGCTCCTCCAGCTCCAGGGCTCTGGCTCCATCAGCGTAGCTCCATGTGTCTTGTCAACAGGAATGTCTTGCAGGGAGTGAGCGTGTATCTACCCTCCAGTGAGCTATTTATCTCCTTAGCACCTCCAAGTGAGGTCATCAAGCTGCGACCCGATTAACAGGCTAGACTCCACCCCTCCACAAGTTGACACCAGATTATGTAACTGCCACAAGGTCTTTGAGGGGTTGTGAGGAAAAAGAACGCCTCCTTTCATAGAAAGAGAAGCAGCACCTCCTTTCATAGCTTCATGAAGTGGAAGCTTGACGGTGAAGTTTACTAACAAGAGGCTGGGAGGGTCCCCTCTCTGAGGACAGGCTGCTGAGCGCTGCCTCAGGTTGAGATCTACCCCCGACTCTGAGACACCAGACATCGAGTGAGTTTTCAGGCCTCTCTGGGCCTCATTTTTCTTAATTGTTTTCTTTTTAAGTGCCAAGTAAAGATCCCTTCGCTTTTTTTAACATCTGTGAGATATAATTTAATTATCTGTTTAAGAATAATTAATTTTGAATATTCTCAATTACCTTTGTCCCGAGTGCCCTTTTTTTTTTTAAGCCACACAAGATAACAAGTTTCTTTGCTTAATTGTCACACCTCAGTGTTAACCAAAAGAGAACATTCTGCCAATTGGCATAAGTGTTTCTTTTCACAGGATTCATTTGGAAGTGTGGCTTCTGGTTATTTTTCTGCCGACGGCAGTCACATTCTGTCACCCCCTCTTGGTGGGCCAAAGAGAAAGCACATAGAAAATCTCTCCTTTGAGTCGTTGTACTTTCTTTTAAAAGGCCCGAGGGGCAGAGGTTGGCGTCTCTTTCCTTAAGATGGCACTATGCATTTCTTGTTTTAATTACCAAAGCCAAACTCAATGCCATCGAGTCTAGACCCAATCATGGAGATCCTATCGGGCAGGGTATAACTGCCCCTGTGGGTTTCCCAGGCCTCAGCTTTCTCCTGTGGAGCTGCTGGTGGTTTTGAACTGCTGGCCTTATGGTTAGCAGTCCAGTGCATCCCCACTCTGCCAGTTTTAGTTAGGAGGTGTTTTTCGTTTGGGTTTGACTGCAGGTAACAAACCAGCTCTGAATGACTGAGACAGAAAGGGGCTTTCGGAGAGGAAGGGCGAGCACGCTAGGCCCCAGAAAGCAGGAATGAGAGCCGTTTGGGGGCCCCAGCCCCTGGGTTCAAGAACCCTCTCTCTCAAGTGCCCCTACTAATGTGACTCAGCCACATCTGTCCCCAGACCCTATGTCTCCCCTCAGCTGAGAGGTCTAGGTTCCTGGGTAATAAAGCATGCATGGCTCTTCAGTGGGGTCAGACACCTACATAAGGTAGAGACCAGGCTGCCAGAGCGTGCCTCCCCCCAGGGCCTTCGTTCTCAATGAAGTAGGACATGACTGTGAACCTGGCTATCACCCCAAGAGATGACTGTCTCCTACTCATCTCTAAATGATACAAGTTAGCATGTTTAAGTAATTAACAGAAAACAAAAACACCCACTGCCACTGAATAATCGATGCTGATTCCTAGTGACCCCCACGGACAGGGTTGATCACAGCCCAGTTCATTACCACCAAGCCACCAGGGCTCTGAGTATTAGCTTCCAGTCTCTGTAGGTTACGCGTTGACCTGTCAGCCACAACCACCGCAGTTCAAACCCACTGGAAGCAGACAAGCTGTTGTTCTGGAGACAGAAAAATCTAAGCCTCAAATAGAGCTTATTAGGAAATGCCATCTCACCACAATACCCTGGATCCTGGGCAGTGATGTATGGTTTGCATCAGTCGGTTCTGTAAAACAGCCATTATTCATCACTGGAAGCTAACGACTGCAGATCGCTCTCCAGAGGCCATTTAAATCGCTTGCACATCTCATTGATTCTGAAAACCGATGTCATTTTATGACCCTCATTTGATTATATTTTAGAGGCTTATTGATAATCAAATAAACATAAAAGCAAATACCAGGATGGATTTTCTGGTCGCGTACTGAGATGACTGGGTTTTGAAAGAGTCTGCTTCCCAAGTCTCCCTGGTGGTTGTCTCCACAAGCCCCTGCTCCACCCTCTGCGAGAGCCGTGTCCCCAGAGCAAGCTGCTCTGTGAAGCAATGTCTCATTCGTGTGCGTGTGTGTACCTTCAATTCTTCCAGGCCCAGAAAGGGAAGCAGTCTATTAAGATCGCTCTCCGTCTTTTTTTCCGGGCTTTTTCATGACTGCTGGGTTAAGAGTAGATTGGGCATTTTAGAAGGTGAAGACTATTGATAGGTAGGCTCACAGCAAGAAATAAAGCCTGTAGACTCGGGAACCTTGGTGAGGCAGAGGCCTATCAGAGGAAAGAGACTGCCAGCGTTTCCCAGGAGGACATGCGACGAAAAAGCGGTGAGAGACTGCACCTGCTGCCACACGGCAGAGCCACCCTGCGGAGTCCCCGCACTCCCAGGTTTCCCATGATCACATCAGAGCTACCACCCAAGAGCAAGCAAACCGAGTTCACTGCCAAGGAGGCGGTGCTGACTCACAGCGCCCCTCCAGGCGAGGGTCGAACTGCCCCTGTGAGTTTCTGAGACTGCTGCTTCTGTTGTTTGCTTGTTTGAGATGAACTTGTTTGTCACTAAAGTCTCCACGTCCATGTCAATTTTACTTTTCCCCCTCTTTTTCTTTTAAACCACTATTCAGGCTTGAGAGAGAAGGAATCTGAAGGGATTTTTGTTCGGTTGGTTGGTTTGATTTTTAAAGCAACACACCACGTATGTATTTATGCAGCCCATCTCCAGAAAGGAAATCCACAACAATAACCTAGCAAACCCTCCAGATGAGTGGGTTTTTTCTGTCCCCACACCCACCCCTCCCCAAGACTAGCTTTCTGCAGAGGGAGAAACCCTCGTCTTTCTCCCACGGAGCCACTGGGGGTTTCGAACTGCTGATCTTGCAGTAAGCAACCAAATGGGTAACCATTCGGCCAGTGGTTCTCAACCTTCCTAATGCCACGACCCTTTAATACAGTTCCTCATGTGGTGGTGACCCCCCCCCACCATAAAATTACTCTTGTTGCTACTTCATCACTGTGACTTTGCTACTGTTACGAATCGGGCGACCCCTGTGAAAGGGTCGCTCAACCCCAGGTTGAGAAGCCTGCATAGGCTGCCAGGGCTCCTCATCCGAGCTCCCACTTTTTGAGCCCTTCCTTCATACCAGGTCCCGTATAGTTTTACATAACATCTGTGTTTGGGACGGTTTGCTTCTCAACTTCAGATCTACAGAATGTTCACTTTGACTGCTATTCTTGACGTTGTCTTGTCACCAAGAACCCATATTTGCGTTTAAGAGAAAAATGATTCCAAAGCAGGACTGGGACTCGGGATAGGCAATGGAGGGACTGGTCTCATATGTGAAAAGTTGAGCTATCAGGAGAGGTGATATGTATTGTGCTATTCCAAAACAAAAACTAAATGAATGACATTAGTGAAAACGCCCTCCAATGGACAAAACACGCAAATTGTACATCAAGACAGGGACCACCCTTTGCTACCCCTTACAGCAGAACAGCTGCTGTCTGGGGACGTTTGCAAGGGCTGAGCCCCCGTTCCCAGTCATGTCGCCTTAAACTGGCTACTCAACCTTTCTGATTCCTATTTTATCCTCTTTAAACCGGGGCTCCATGCGCCACAATAGAAGCGTGGTGTCCAATAGAAGCTGTGTTCCTCCCACACGTGATTCCTGCACGGCGCAAGCGTCTCACGGTCCACGTGGCACCCCTTGACGCATCAGCACTTAATCTATCAATGTCACATTTCTGATCCCACAGAGCACCCAGAAGGCGGAGGTCCTTAACCCCCTGATCAATAGCGTATTGTTAGAGGTAAGTAGTCCTGCAAAGTGCGCCTCAGCCAAAGCAATTGCCAGAGTTACATCTCGTCTCTCTCCCAGGCAGCCCCGCTGCCTTATCAGCGAGTGTGCTTGCGCAGCTGTAAACCCTCCGGTGAAGCAACAATACCTCATTTTCCAGCACTGATTATAAAGAGAAACGCTAAGCTTGCACGTTATTTCTGTCACCGTCTTCTCGGGCAGAAACAGATTTTCGCTGCCAACTCTGGCACCCGATTTAACACTAGGTGTCGTGGCTGGGCTGAGGGGCTATTTATGCTCAGCAGTGGTTTTGGGAACACGCCACTCCCCTCTATTGACAGTCACCTTTGGCGTAGTGGGTTGTGTGTTGGGCTGCTAACTGCAAGGTCAGCAGCTCGAAGCCACCAGCCTCTCCACGGAAGAAAGATAGGGCTTTCTACTCCCACCAAGAGTTAAAGGGTCTTTGGACTTCTCCAGGGGCAGCTCTACCCTCTCCTATAGGGTCGCCATGCATCAGAATGGGCTCATGCAGTACCACGCAGACTTTGGGCGGGTTATCAGGAAAGACCAGTCCCTGGAGAGGGCCAGCAGACTTGATAAAGTAGGAGGACAGCCCAGAAAGAGGAAGGCCCTCGACTAGACGGATTGACCCAGCGGGCTCAGCCATAAGAGCCATCGCGAGGGTGGCGCAGGACCAGGTGGCCGTTCATTCTGTCGTCCCTAGGGTCGCTGTGAACCGGAACCACAGCAAACCACAACCACAGAGGAGTCTCAGCGGTGTGGTGGTTGTACGTTGGGCTTCTGACTGTAAGGTCAGCCGTGTCCACCTGAGGGAAGAGTGAGGCTGTCACCTCCCAGACAGCCATGGCCCCAGCAAGGGAGGAAGCAATTCTAGGGTGTCCTTTAGGTTTTCTGTGCGTCAGAATGGCTGGACGGCAGTGGGTGTGGCTTTTATTTTCTGGAAGCACCCGTCAAGGTCCCCTGGCGGTGCGATGCTTACACCCTCAGTTGCTAACCCGAAGGTTGGCAGTTCAAATCCACCCAGCGGCTCTACGGGAGAAAGAGTGGGCAGACTGCTTCCATAAAGGCTGCAGCTTAGAAAGCCCCATGCGGCAGCTCTACCCTGTCAAAGTAATTGCTAGGAGTCCAGACTCAGCTGCATCTAACTACGGCCACAACACAGCACGGGTTAGGGGACTTTGAGGCAGTCAGACTCAAAGCAAGCTTCTGTGTGCAACTGCCAGGTCTTGCACCATCCTTATGGTCTTGTCAGGTTTGAGCCCATTGGTGTAGCCGTTAGACCAGCAAAACTGAGAAGGCGAACAATTAGCCTTCCCTTGTGTGCTGCTCTGGGTAGACTAGAGAAACAAATCCAGGGAGACTCATATGTATAAGAGTGTATAAGAAAGAGCTTTATATACAAGAGCAACTGAATATTGAGAAAACATCCCAGCCTTGTCCAGGTCAAGTCCATCAGCCCGATATTAGCCTATGTGTCCGATGCCAATCTGTAAAGCCCTCTTCAGACTCACAAAGCACATGCAATGACGCCAAATGCAGCAAGATCACAGGCCAGTGGGTGGGAAGTCTTGTGGATCCAGCAGCAGTAGCGGCATCTCAGCGCTGGCAGGGGTCTCCCCGCGGCTCCTTCAGCTCCAGGGCTCTAGCATAGCTCCCTGTGTCTTGTCCACAGAAATGTCTCACAGGGCGCGAGCTTGGGTCCCGCCTCCAGTGAGCTATTTATTTTCTTAGTGCCTCCAGATGAGGCCATCAAGCTGCAACTTGATTTACAGATAAACTCACCCCTTCACTCTTATCTCAAAATGGCAACCGATTATGTAACTGCCGCACCTTGAGAGAGAGAGGCACTATCCTCTGACCACACGCACCCCGGTTGTAGCTCCAGTCGCACGGGGGTGAAACTCCCCAGGCCGCAGAGGCAATGATGCATGGCGGGATAGGAGAGCCCGGGAGCTCTCAGCCTTGAGCCAGACGCACCGAGTTATTCTTGGGGTGGGAGGTGGAGGAAAACCTTCCATTGGGGGCCCAACCATCAGAAACGGGCACCACAGTCAGCCCAAGGCTGCAGCCATGAGACGTTAACCAGCCAGGTTCAACTTACTTGTCTAAACAAACAAACAAGGACCTCACTGCCACCAAGCCACTGAGAACACATAGAAACCCTGTTGGACAGGGTAGAACTGGCCCTGTGAGTGGCCGAGACTGCAACCCTTTATAGGAGTGGGAAGCCCTACCTGTCTTTCCCCCGTGGAGCGGCTGGTGGTTCTGAACTGCCGACCTTGCGGATCAAGCCCAACATGTAACACCATGCCACGCAGGTTCCTCCCTTGTCTAAAGTAGCTGTGAATTGCAATAACTAGAAATTGCAAAGCTTCAAATCTGGAGGGTTACCTGTAGGAGTCCCCGGTGGTCCAAATGGTTAAGCGCCTGGCTAGTAACCACAAGGTTGTTCCAAATGTACCCACGGGTGCCTTTGAAGAAAGGCCTGGTGATCTCCTGACGAGTCATCGCTGTCACGAACCCTGTGGGAGCACGGCTCTACTCTGGCACAAGGAAGCCACTCCGAGTCGGAATGGATGCAGTAGCAACCAGTTTGGTTTGGGACTCCTTGGTAGTGCAAAGAGTTAAGCGCTTGGCTGCCCACTGAAAGGTTAGAAGTTTGAATCTTCCCCAAGGCACCTAGGAAGCAAGACCTGGTGATCTGTGTCTGAAAAGTCAGCTATTGAAACCCCTGTGGAACACAGTTCTACTGTGACACACACAGTGTCACTATGAACTGATGGGGCCTTTTTTTTTTTCAATTTCCCCAAATCTATATATTTATTAGCCATGACTTTGGGATCAAGCTTCCCTGTTAAGGAAAACAGTCAAGATACAGAAATAACCAGATGGTGTCCCCGAGTGTTACATACTGCTGAGCACATAGCCCTGTAGGGGACTGGAGCAAACCAGAAGTGACAAGGAGCTTCTTTCGGGCCAGGCTGCGGGAGGACATGCACAGCTGAGGAAGCCCTGGCAGTAAAAGAATGCAGTGCAAGAAAATCTCTCCCCAGCCTTCCCCCCACCCTCTCCAGGGGGCATTAGCAAATCAATTTACCAGCTCGATCAGGAAGAATGTGAAGTCAAATGTGTATTCCCTTCTCATGGAAGTTTCCACATGTTTCAGTTACCCTACATGTTCCATGGCCTCTCTGTCTGACACTGCCTGCAAACTCACCCCAGAACCCGAGTCGTAATACCAGCTATCCCAACCAAGGGCACAGAAGGATGACAGCGTTCGAGGATTTGCCAGGAATCACTTCCCAATCACTTCACTTAGCTTTAATGTGCTGCTACTGTTGTTGTCATTAGCTGCCTTTGATCCATCCCCAACTCATGGCATCCCCAAGGACAAGAGGACAAAACGCTGCCCAGACCCCCAACATCTCCAAGATGGGTTTCAGGTCAGATCCTCGTCCTTCAAAGGGTAGTTTTCAGCATTCCATCGCCAGGCCTGACTTCCTAGTCCACGTGAGTCGGGAAGCTCTGCTGAAACCTGCTCAGTATCAGGGTAACAGCGCCTCCACTGACAGCGAGTGGGAGCTGAGCGTGAGGTGTAGGTGCTGGAAATGGAATCTGCATCTCCCACGTGGAAGCTGGAATTCTCCCACTGAACCACTGCTGCCCCGGGGCCTGGTGGAGACTGGTTTTCATTGGTATATAAGTCAGAACACACTAGCCCCTCCATTACACTTTGCCTCTGTAATTTCAAAGCGTGGGATTGATAAGTGGCATATCAGGCCACAGGTGTAAATAGATCCATGGACCCGAAACATCCATCAGAAGGACTTGCTACATCTGGAGTGCATTCTTCTGTCCCTGTTTACAGATCAGGGCTGGGGAACCTTTGCTCTCCCATGGGCCATTTGGATATTTATGATATCGCTCTGGCCATCGTTTTCAAACATTTCAGTAACTCGCCTTTATTTATTTTTGCTTTTAAATTTACATTTTTTTCATTCATGTAATTTTTTTTTAATTTAACTCACCTTTAATGTGATGGCTGGAATCGCTTCTCTTTGATGAGGTGCGTGATGTTCACTAGTATTGATTTTTCAGACCTTATACAGCCAGCAAACTGGAAATTCCCCATCCTGGTCACGAAGCATTCCATCTCAGGGCACGGTGCTTTAAGCACACACATGAGCAGGAGCACAGATGCTCCTGTGGGGCTTGAGAAACAGGAACATGATCACATTTGAAGGACTGTCAAGATTGAACCCTCAACCACGTTCTTCTCCTCTCTGCAGGGTTCAAACAGCACCGCGTACATCCAGGACGCCTTCCAGCTGCTGCTGCCCGTCCTGCAGGCCTCCCATATCCAGGCCACTTGTTCGAAGCCACAACCGTGACCACACCTGACGCCACCTGGCTAAAGGAATGGAGGCTCCAGCCACACCCATGCCCGCCGTTTGAGGGGGGTGGGGGAGCTTCAGGCCAGAGGCCCGTTTGAGAACACCACAGGCAGTTTTGCACAATGGGATTGAAAGCAGGTGGAAAGAGCGTTGTCGTGCCTCTTAATGTCCATGGTTTTCACCTGTAATTGTATTTCTTGATGTTAATTTAAACATACACGGCTTGTATGGAGACTTTTTCTTTCATCTGAAATCCACGGGCAAATGTTAATTTCCACATTTCTGGCAAAGCAAGCTTGGCATGTTGAGAATTCCCTGGTCAGATCTTGGATTTTTTTTTTTTCTTCCAATCTTTACATTTCCCATTCTTACTCTTGCAAATCAGTTCTTGTACTGAACTTAGTTTTGTTACCTGGATGTCAGGACAAAGACACCACACCACGACTTGGAGATGCCACCTATTCTAGAGGTAAAAGGAGAACAGATTTTATAGTCATGGACTCTGTATAGTAGTTTGTTCTCTCAGTAAGCGTTTATTGAACACCTACTGTGTGCTCACAACAGAGGAACGTGGGCTCACTCTAGTAGAGCCAGACATTCTGAAAAGGAGCATGAGTAATCCTTAAATTATGCCCCTCACCCCAAAAAGCAATCAGTTTTCTAAACCTGGAGAAATCTGAACCAAGGTAAATGAGTGGTTTTGAATGTTCTTATCTTTCACTTTAAGGAGCCCTGGTGGGCATTGTGGGTTACACATTGGGCTGCTAACCAAAAGGTCAGAGGTTCAAACCCACTAGCTGATCCCCAGGAGAAAGATGAGGCTCTCTACTCCAATAAAGAGTTACAGTCTCAGGAACTCACAGGGTGATTCTCCTGTCCTCCGGGGTCTCTGTGTCAGAACTGACTGGATGGCAGCCGGGGGAGGGCTGCATCCTTCACTTGATTGTGTCTTCTGTATCACTTGAATTGTCGCTTCATCCCAAACTTTATAGAAAGGGGGAACCGCATGCAGACAGACAGACTTGCATACTGACAGACATAAAGGATGGTCAGTTTGACCTGTCAGGGTCGTGAGCACATGAGCTCAGAGTGGCGACACTTCTGAGTACACAGAGAGAGATGTGTCAGAGGCTTCCACAGAATCCTAGGGCAGGATTCAAAAATCGACTCACAGGCACCGCTGACCCCGAGAGTCCCACTACTATGCACAGACCGCCTGCCAGTAGCAAAGGTTATCACTGCTTCAGTGGGACATAAAAAAAGCCAATGTGTGGGCTGGGTAAGTGGCGTATTGATCCAGGGGAGGCTGCCCAGGAGCCTGGGCCAGGAGGGCCATTGTCCCTGCTGCTTGCTCTTCCAGCGCCACAGCGCACTCCAAGGGGGAGTTCCGTGGGCTGTTTATTCCCCAGTGCCCTCGCCCGCCCTGCAGGCACCAGGACTCTCGCATGAGAGGTCTGTAGCTTTGCCCGGTTGGGAATCTCTCACTCACACGTGGTTGCCTGGTGGAGCAGACTGCCCTTGTTCTGGACCAGCTAAGGAGGGTGTTCAAATGCCTTCTGGTTTCTTCATCTCGTTTCATTTGTCAAATGTGTCTGTCCTGAAACAGCTCGATCAAAAACAAGCGAACAGTGCGTTTACAATCTGGAGAGAGGCCGGTAGAGAAAATTTCTGAGGAATTCCATTAAAGATGTGCTTTTTCCTTCCTTGTCTTTTGATGGCTGAAGTGCTTCTGCCCTCGAGCCAGGAGGGTGATTGGTTGAAGAGAATGCTACTGCTCTTACCTCACCGTACAGTTCTAGCTCTTAGGTTTAGAGCAGGGGTCCTCAAACTACGGACCGCGGGCTGAGGACATTTATCTGGCCCGCCGGCTGTTTTTGCCCCGTTTTGTTTTTTAAGCTCAAAATAAGATATGTGCAGTGCGCATAGGAATTTGTTCATAGTTTTTTTTAAACTATAGTCCGGCCCTCCAATGGGGCTGAGGGACAGTAACTGGCCCCGTTTAAAAAGTTTGAGGACCCCTGGTTTAGAGCATAGAGCAGGGCTTAGAGTTCCACTTTGTTCACGTCCCAGTTCTTAGCACCAGGTGCACCTGCAGTTAGACACAGAAATGATTTTCAACAGAGCTTGATTGGACTTCTAGACTTAATAATCGCACTCATTTGGTGCATTGCAATGTTTTGTTTTAAAGTAAAATCATCTGGAAGACATTTTTTTTTAAGAATTATTCTAAAAATGTGACTGGCATTATTGGCAAAACCTTTAACCTCTCTTGAATGAGAGACCATCAAGGTAGGCTGGTGGAGACATAGCTAGAAGCCATTACTGTTGTTAGCTCTCATCAGGTCAGTCCCCTGCAATGGAACAAAATGCCACCAGATCCCGGGTCACCCTCGAAATGGTTGTGTTTGAGCCCGTAGTTACAGCCACTGTCAGTCCATCTCATCGAGAGCCTGCCTTTTCTCTCTCTTTTTTTTTTTTTTTGTTGACCCTCCACTTTACCAAGCATGATGTCGTTTTCCAGGGGGCTGGTCTTCCCTGATAACATGTTCAAAGTCTCTCCAAATTTGCTTCTAAGAAGCATTCTGGCTGTACGTCTTACAAGATAAATCTGTTTGTCCTTTTGGCAGTCCATGGTACTTCGAGGACTCTGACAGAACCTCCATTCAAACGCAACAAATTTTCTCTCGTCTTCCTTATTCAGTGTCCAATTTTCCCATGCATATGAGGCCATTGAAAATACCTGGGTTTGGGTCAGGCACACCTTAGTCCTTGAGTAACATTCTTTTTTCCCAACACTTTAAAGAGGTTAAAGAGATCTTCTTCAGCAGCAGATGCACCCGGTATAAAGCCTCCTTTGATCTCTTGACTGCTGCTTCCGTGAGCATTGATTGTGGAGCCAAGCAAAACCTAGCCCTTGACATCTTCAGGCTTTTCTCCCAGTGTCATGCTCCCTGTTGGTCCAGCTGGGAGGATGTTGGTTTTCTTCACACTGAGTTGTGATCCGTACTGAAGGCTGCCAACCTTGATCTTCAAGGCCTCCTCACTTTCAACAAGCCAGCTGTGTCAGCTGCATGCCACAGGTGGTTAACAAGCCCTCCTCCAGCCCCGAGACCACGTTCTGCATCTAACCCAGCGTCTCTGATGATGTGCTCAGCATGCATATTGAATAGGTATGGTGAGAGCCTACAATCCTGGCATACACCTTTCCGGATTTTAAACCATGCTGTTCTTCACCATCATTCTGAAATCACTGCTCCTTTGTTTTGCTTGTAGACCTGACTGAGCACAAGACCCGGATCTGGGTGAACGTTGATGGGGCTGGCCTGGGGAGCTCAGAAATCGGGTTCATTTCACTCTATGCAGTCACTTGAACAAGCATGTCCATCTTGGAGTGGCTAGCCCACCCCACCCTGCTTCCCTCAAGTGAAAAATAAGTCTGTCTAAATAATGGCTATGGCCCGTGCCTTATTAAATCAAAAGGCTCTTTCCAATTCAGAATAAAAATGCGTTCCAGAAAAATTGCTCTCTGGTTTGGGTGCCAGCAGATCGGATGGAGTCTCTGGTGTGTAGCACAGAGATTCTCTCCCAACAAGAACAGAAGACATCTCTGGTGCCCCGGGTCTCACACCAGCTGCTCAGCAAACTCAGCCCGGATGGACAGTGGGAAGAGCTGAGGCCTGAGCAGAAATCCACTGGGTGCTGTAGCTGCCTGTGTTAGTGCGGGTGGACTAGAGAAACAAATTCACGGACACTGGTAGGTGTATAAGAAAGAACTTTATATACAAGAGCAATAGAGTATTGAGAAAACATCTCAGCCCAGTCCAGATCAAGTCCATAAATACGATATTAGCCTGTATTTCCCATACCAGTCTGTAAATTCCTCTTCAGACTCACGCATGGCTCCTCCAGCTCAGGGCTCTAGCATAGTTCCATGTGTCTCTGCAGAAATGTCTCACAAGGAGGGAGAGTGAGTGTCTGGTCTCCAGCAAGCTTTTTATCTCCTTGCGACTCCAGATGAGGTCATCAAGTTGCTACCTGATTGACAGGCTAAACTCCACCCCTTCACTGGCTCAGATTGACAACAGATTATGTAACTATCACACTGCCTCATCAGCACCATCTAGGGACCGTGGGCTTCAGGACAGGAGATGCCCCAGCACGGGCCGGCTACCTAAAGGAAAGTGTAAGTGGGTAGAGGCCTAGCCCTCACAATGCGTATTTTCTCATGCCTGTAGAAGCCAGCGGCCCAGTGCCCTTAAGACGCCATGTTGGCCACAAGGGCTGGTCATGTTGGCCTTCTGTTAGAAACCAAGCACACGGAGTGAGACCATAGCCAGCCCAGAGGGCGAGGCCCTACCTACCATCTCAGGAAAGCAAGCCAGCCAAACCTGACATGACATGTTCTGATTTCAACGTGTGTGTGTGTGTGTGTGTGTGTGTGTGTGTGTGTGTGTGTAAAATTTCGGCAAGTATCTGCTGAAGAGCTGACATGTGTGCCGTGAAATGATCCTTCTCTTTACAAAAGCTACTTTTTTCCAGAGCCTAGCGACCTTTTTATTCTGTAAGATCCACCCTTGGATCACCCTGGCTGTCGGGGATGGCTCTCCCAGCTTCTGGCTCAGGCTTCAAGTTGGTTTCTTAAATGGCTGTTTGTAAAAGGCCATTAGAAGAGAGCCTATTGAAAATGGCCTCCTTCGTAGAGCTGCAATTTTGCTCAGGTTTGGTGGGGGATTAGGATCAAAAACACTGCAGGAATGGATTCAGCGCAGCTAGTCACCTCGTCCGCAGTGGGGTGGAAGTGGGGGGGCAGGAGGGGAACACATGGTGTAACCCCTCGTGGGTGTCTTAGGTTGATGTGCACGTCTCATATGCCCGCCTCTTCAATGCCGCACGACACTGCTATTAAACAGATCTGAGGACTGACCTCTCTGGTTGCTTCTCTTTCTGAGTCACGGACATAATCTCAGCCGGTCCACCCCTGGAGACTTCGTGGTGGCGCAGGTTACATGTCGGGCTATGTGTGAGTCTGGGTTGACCAGAGAAACAAATCCAAAGACACTCGGGTGTACGAAAGAGCTTTATATAAAAGAGCAATTGAACATTGAGAAAATATCCCAGCTCAGTGCAGATCAAGTCCATAAAATCCGATATCAGCCCATATGTCCGATACTAGTCCATAAATTTCTCTTTAGGCTCACAGCACATGCAATGATGCCAAATGCAGGAAG